TCACTGCCCACTACGCACGACTCACTACTCCCTACTCCCTACTCAGTACGCACTCCTCCTTACTCACTACTCACGACTCATTACTCGCTTCTCGCTACTTACTACTCACTATTCACTATTCACTACTCACTACTCACTTTTCAGTACTCATTATTCACTACTACCCACTACTTACTACTCACTACTCACTACTCACTACTCACAACTCACTACTCACTACTCACTACTCACTACTCACTACTCTCTACTCTCTACTCACTACTCACTACTCACAACTCACTACTCACTACTCACTACTCACTACTCACTACTCTCTACTCTCTACTCACTACTCACTGCTCACTACTCACTATTCTACTCACTATTCCGTATTCTATACTCCCTACCCACCTTCTCCTGCGCAGAAAACAGCAGCGGGAGAGGACCCCTACCCGGCTCTCTGTCTGGCGCCAAGGGGGGAGGGGGGGGGTCGAACCCCTCCCCCTTCCCAGCGCCAAAGGGGAGGGGGGGGGGTCCGGAATCCTCCCCCCCCCTTGAAGGGAGGGGAGGGGGGGGGTTCGGAACCCACCCACACTCAGGGGGGGAAGGGGGGGGGGAGCTCGAAAATCTCACCCCCCCTTTGAAGGGGGAATTACAGGGTCCTCCAGTGGCGCACTCCCGAGATCACGGCCAGAGCCCTCGACCCCACCTTTTTCAGAAACATGTCGCGAGTTCGATCGAAGCGCAAGCTGCCTCCAGCGCTGACTGCGAGCGCACGGCCGCCCCCCAGTCTTCGTTGAAAACTCCTTTTTGCAAAACATGGGTGTGTGATCTGCGTTCGGGACAATCGCTTTCGACATCCGTGCGACACGACAGGTAATTCAGAGATTGCAGGATGCGCGCGCAACGACGCGCGCGTGTGCATTTCGTCACATTTGTTGCAAGGGATCTTTGGAGAATCCATTTGAAGATGAAGAAGTGCGCGCGCACTGAATTTTTAGCAAGGTACGAGGGGGTCGCTATCAGTCTGGATGGGATCACGCCAATTCATGTGAAAATGAGCGATGGGGGCAGAACCACATGTAAATTGCACAGATCCAGAGGGCAGATAAGTCTGGCCTCGGGAGAGCGGTTGATCGATGCGTTGTGCAATCTATGGTTTGTAAGTTCTGTTGTAGGGGGGGGCTATCGGGCCCGTATCGGCGATCTGTCAGCGATTGGGGTTCGTCCATTCCCACCTCATCCTCCCCCTCCCCCTCCTCCTCCTCCTCCTCCCCCTCCTCCTCCTCCTCCTCCTCCCTCCCTCCCTCCCTCCCTCCCTCCCTCCCTCCCTCCCTCCCTCCCTCCCTCCCTCCCTCCCTCCTCTTCACCCTCCCTGCCTGCCTCCCTCCCTCCCCCGAACGTTGTCCTTGACGCCCGAAGGGCGCTGGGCTGGAAGGCTCCGGAGGCCGCAAGCGCGGGCACCGGCCGAGAGAGCGCAAGCCCGTGAAGCAGAAGCTTACCAGCCTGGAATCTATCCCTATCCCTGAGCTGGGCATCGCCTCCTCGCGATGCCAATCTCAGGGATTCCCTTGGTTTTTCAGGGCGCATCCCCAAGACTGTCATCGCCTTTTGGCGTGTCCATCTCAGGGACAGGGATCAGTTCGAGACTGGTGAGAGGCCGCCTCCGTCTCGGGCTTGGAGGCGCCCTTGGAGAGGAACAGGCCGCCCTCCGTCTGGCTCTCCTCCTGGGGGCGGCAGGTGGGCGGACTGTGTTTTGATCCGCGGGTCGAGAGCGAGCTAAAGCTAAAGCTAAAGCTAGAGCTTAAGCTAAAGCTAAAGCTAAAGCTAAAGCTCCCAGAGGACTGGGGGAACCGCGGGGCGGATGCCGGGGGAACCGCACAGGGCGGGTAGCACTGCCCGGCCCCTTCTAGGCAGAGCCTTCTCGGCAGAGCCTAGGTAGGGAATGAGAAAACCCCGGAGCGGCCCAAGAGCGCCCCCCAGACGGCCCAAGTGCCGCCCAAGGCGGACCAAGAGGCCCCAAGACGGGCCCAAGAGGGGCTCAAGAAGGGAACCGAGAACTGAAAAATCGAGCCCTCCGCCCCAGAAGGCGCCCAGGACCCCGAAAGAGGCCCCAAGAGACTCTCCAAGACACCCCCAAGACGCCCCAATAAGCTCCCGTGAGGCCCCAAGAGGACCAACAACGTCAGGCCCCAGGCCCCAAGAGGACCAACAAATACCGCCAAGAGCCCGCCGAAAGCCCCCCAAGAGACCGTCACGAGGCTTCAAAACTGCCTCTAAGAGGCTCCCGAGACACCCCAACAACGCTGATTGCGGTGCAGCGCCGTGAAGCCCCAGGAGGACCCACAAATACCGCGAAGAGACCGCCGAGGGCCTCCCAAGAGACCCTGAAGAGACTTCAAAGCTGCCTCTAAGAAGCACCGGAGATACCCCAAACCGAGACGGCCCAAGAGACTCCCACGACTACTCCAAGAGAGCCTCCCACGAGGAGCCCCAACGTGAATTTGAAGTCCTCCGCTCCGAAAGACCCTCCAAGACACCCCCAAGACGCCCCAATAAGCTCCCGTGAGGCTCCAAGAAGACCAATTAATACCGCCAAGAGCCCGCCGAGAGCCTCCCAAGAGACCGTCACGAGGCTTCAAAACTGCCTCTAAGAGGCTCCCGGGACACCCCAACAGCGCTTCATGCGGCGAAGCGCCGTGAAGCCCCAGGAGGACCAACAAATACCGCCAAGAGGCCGCCGAGAGCCTCCCAAAAGACCCTGAAGAGACTTCAAATGAACAACCTCTCTCACCCCAAACCCCCCGTGCCTCTGATCCTTCCTCCATCTTCCACTGCTCCTCTACTCCCTCCGCCTCCTCCTCCCCCACCTCCCCCCCCTCCTCCTCCTCTGCCACCCACACTTTCCACGCTCGCGCCTCTACCCCCCTACCCCAACCCCCCCGCCCCCCCCCTCCCCAACACACACGCACGATTACACATAGCAGCGGAAGGAGGAAGTTCAGAGGACAAGGAGACTGCAAACTGTTTTCTTGTTTCCTGCGATAAAATTTCACGAACCGCCACCTTCCAGATAAGACGGCTCAGGCATGCAAAAAATGGCTCCTCCCGGCAAGGTCGCCACAAGCCGACCATCCATGACCAAGAACCAAACCCATCAGCCGCAGTTACTCCGATCACTGAGGCAATCGACAGCCGTGCACCAATATGGGCCGGCGGAATGAGCGAAGCGATTAAATAAGAAAATCGATGTGGCGTCCCGAGGTGTCGCGTGGTGTCCCGTGGTGTCCTATGGCCTATGATGTCCCGTTGAGTGAGATCGATAGTGAGATCGATAGTGAAATCGATGTGGTGTCCCGAAGTGTCCCGTGGTGTCCCGTGCTGGCCCGTGGTGTCCCGTGGTGTCCCGTTGATTGAGATCGATAGTGAGATCGATAATGAGATCGACCAGTGTCCCGTGATGTCCCGTGGTGTCCCGTGGTGTCCCGTTGGGTGAGATCGATAGTGAGATCGATTGAGTTGCCGTTGTCGTCGTCGTCGTCGTCGCCTTCGCCGCTCCCCTCCCCTTTCGCGAAATTGAGCAACGTTGTAGTTGAGTCGAAGGGAAACCCCTTCCATTTGATCCCTTCCCCGCAGGGGGGGGGGTCCCAAGAGGGGTCCTGGGGGTCCCGGGGGGGGGGGAGCGGAGTCCCGGGGGGGTCGCCATCCAGATACGACCTCTTCGGCTGTCTTGGAAGCCTCTTGGGCGGTCTTGGGGCCCTCCTGGGTCGTTTTGGGGCCCTCTGGGAGGCCTCTTGGGCCAGCTTGGAGCGGTCTTGGGGGCCTCTTGGCCTGTCTTGTAGCGTCGGGAAGCTGACAAGGCGAGAATGCCGAAATCTTTCAAAAACCCAAGGGGAATCTATGATTTTTGCCCCTTGGGGCCCTCTTGGGAGTCATGTTGGAAGCCTCTTGGGGCGTTTTGGAAACCTTTTGAGCCGTCTGGGGGCTGCTTTGGCGACTTGGACCGATACTTCGGCGATTCGGGGCCCTCAAGGACCGTCTTGGGGGCATCTTGGAGCACTTTTGCTGCGTCTTGGAGCTTTTCTGGGCCCCCGAACCGCCCGGGGGGGAGTCGAGCCCTCGGCCTGAGAAGCTCCCAGGAGGCCCCCAGAGGCCCCTAAGAAGCCCCCCAAGAGACCCCAGGAGGCCCCCAAGAGACCCCCAGGAAGCCCCAAGAGGCACCCACCAGGCTCCCAAGCGGCCACCAAGAGCCTTCCAAGAGGCCCCAAAACTACCCCCAAGAAGCCCCAAAACTACCCCGCTCGTCGTCGTGGTCGTCGTCGTCGTCATCGTCGTCGTCGCCATTCAGGGTCGGCGGGACCGGCCGTAAGGCCTTCGCAATAAATGCAGGTATACGCCCGATGGGGCCACGAAACGTATAAGGAGGGTGCCGACATGGGCGGCGGGGACGCATGCGGGCTGCGCCACTGGGACCCTCGGTGGAGCTCCTAGTGGGCCACGAAACGTGTGAGGGGTGTGCCGGAAATTGGTGGCGGGGATGCATGCGGGCTGCGCCTCTGGGACCCGCAGTTGATTGTGGGGGTCACGAAACGTGTGAGGGGTGTACCGAAGTGAGGGGGGTGACTGGAGGAGGGAAGGGGGAGGAGGAGGAGAAGAGGAGGAAGAGGAGAGCGAGGAGGAGGCACGCGGGGACTGTCTCTTCAAAACGAAGACCCAACAACTGGTTGGTGGGGAAAACTACAAACAACAACAAACAAACGCCGCCTCGTCGCACCACTCTGCGTGTCAGCAGGGCCGTCCAAGCACTTCGCCCAACTTCGTCACAAATCATGATCGTAAACCCCTGGATTCCCCGATCAGTGTACGGATGAAGGGCAGGCACTATTCAAAATATGGACATCGCCCCAACCACGCGCACATTTGCACTGAAAGTGCCGACTAGTTGCACAGATGGGAAGCGACTGATTCTCAAACTGTGGCTCTCGCCTTGAAGACGCGCGTAGTCGCATTGATAGTTTACAGCATGCTTTGTTTCACGAACGTGTCGCCTCAGGTCCCTCAACCCTCGCGGGCTGTTCACAGCAGACTAGGGAGCAAAATCTGTCAACCTGATGGGGTCAGCACTCGGTGGTCTGACGGTAATTCGGCATCCTCGACCCACACACCCGCGCGGGGGCGGGCCCACAGCGCAAGCGATGCGAAAGAGTGCTGGCCACGCACGAAGGAGCAGCCGTGGAGTCGGAATAAGCGGCAGCAAGCCTTGCGTGCATGCAAGGCTGTCGCGCTGGGCCCGCCCATATCCAGGGGCCGGATGCAACGCCAGCGCGCTTTCGCGCGTAAGTATACGAAGTTCGTTAGCTACGCCCGCGTGTGGCAGGGAAAGTGGCAGAGAGCCGATCCTACCCTGCGTGCTGTACGGTGGTGAAGAGACGAAAGAAGCCGCACACCCGAAGGGCGGAGTCCTGTCCCTGGCGCATCAAGACCTGAGCCGAGATGGCGATTGGCGAAGGAAGGAGAAGGAGGGATAGGACACTTACACACACACACACACACACATATATATATATATGTATCCTCAAGCGGACGAGCGACGTCACTGCAGCGAAGCGCAAAAGCGGACCACGCGTAGCATCAGTTCCACCTGGCGTTGCAGGTGCGTGGACAACGCAGGGCGAGTTGCGTGCAGAAATGATCCTGGCGAAGGGCCCATCCATTCGCAGTTTTGAGTATTGCCGTTGTGGGTATCGCCTTCGGTGGATCTCTTGATGGGACCACCCATGCCACTGGAGCCTTCGGTGGAGCTCCCTATGGGGCCACGAAACGTGTGAGGACTGTACCAAAGTGGTGGAGCTCCCTATGGGGCCACGAAACGTGTGAGGGCTGTGCCAAAGTGGATGGGGGCGGCATGCGAACCGTGCCACTGGGGCCTTCGGTGGAGCTCCGTTTGGGGCCACGAAGCGCGTGAGGGGTGTGCCGAAGTGAGGGCAGAGGCAAGGGCAAGGGTTGGGAGAGGGAGGAGCGGGAGAAGGAGGAGGAAGAGGAGACGCGGGGACTGTCTCTTCAAAACGATGACCCAACACCACGGGATGGTTGGGAAAAAACGGCGGTGGCCGAGCCAGGCGAACACAGTCCGGAAAGACAGCGAGCGCCGTGCCGGAGAAAGCCTGGAGGGCCTGGGGTAGAGACTGCGGAGCGCCCAGGCCCGATCTGGGTGCAAGGGCCGAGAAGCACGCTACACCCACACATACACACACACACACACACCGCCAATCCTGACTTCAACTTTGCTTCCCTGATATCCCCGAGCAGTGACGGTGCCTGTGGCCACTGCCCGCCCCCTCTCACAGACGCGCCAACACCAGCGACGCTGCTCAGCCGACTGCCGCCCGCATCCTCCAGAGCCAGCAGCGTACCCGATAACCGTCGGTTCCAACATCGCTTCCCCGATTTCTGTAGCACGCGCAAGAGTGACGATCGCTGGTGGCGCGCACAGGGGCGCGGCTGAGAGGGCGGGGGGTTAGGAGAAGCCCCCCCAGCTCCTGAGAGGCCTCCTCAGAGGCATCCAGGCGCTCCCGAGAAGGCCCCCCACCGTCCAAGAAGCCCCCCGCCCCTCTGAGAGGCCAGCCCCCTCGCGCCACCCCACTCCGTGGGCCGCCGGCGTCGGCCAGAGTGGCCTTTCGTGCGCAGGCTCAGGGGGGGGCGCAGGAGGGCCAAACCCAAGCGCGCAGGCCCCTGCTGCCGCCTCGCATCCGGCGATCGGGGGTCCCGAGAGGGCCCGCACAAGAAGTCACTCCTGCGAAGGGTTGCTCCTGCGTGCAGCCGAGATTCCCCCTGGCCGGCGACAGCGCTTCCGGCCACGCCCACCCTTCTCGCATGCCCTGGCTGACGTCGTCCGTCTCCAGCCTCGCTTCCCCGCCTTCTGGAGCAGCGACGGCGCTTTGAACCTATCCCTGGCCGACTCGCACGCGCTGGCGACAGCATTGCCACTGGCAATGGCGTTGGGCTTCACTTCCGTCTTGAGCAACGCCGAACGAACAGAGCCTGTTGCCAGTGCCCGCCGTTCTCGCAGAGGCTGAGCCCAGCGCTGTAACTGTTGCTGTTGGGTTCCAGCTTCGCTTATCGTATCTCGCTGGGCAGCGCCGAAGCCCGCTGCCACTCCCTGGCCTCCTCGCACGCGCGCTTACCAGCGCAGTAGCTTCGGGCGTCGGGATACATCTGCGCCTTCCACATCTCGCTGAACACTTGCTGGCCTCCTCGCACGCGCTCACGCCAGCGCAGTAGCTTCGGGCGTCGGGATACACCTGCGCTTCCCACATCTCGCTGAACAGCGCCAAAGCCCGCTGCCACTGACCGCCCTTCTCGCAGGCACTCACCCCCAACGGTGTAACTGTTGGCGCCGGGCTACAGCCTCACTAATCACATCTCGACGAGCAACGCCAAAGCCTGCTGCCACTTGCTGGCATCCTCACACGCGCTCACGCAAGCGCAGTAACTGCGAGCGTCGGGATACACCTGCGCCTCCCACATCTCGCTGAACAGCGCCAAAGCCCGCTGCCACTGTCCGCCCTTCTGACACGAGGTGATCCCAGCGCCATAACTGATGGTGTTGGGCTCCAGCCTCGCTTCTTGCATCTCGCTGAGAACCGTCAGAGCCCACTGCCATTGCCCGCCTTTCTCACACGCGCTGATCCCAGCAACGTAGCTGACTAGGGAAAAGGGCTGCGAGCGAACCATGCTAATAACTTTGGTGATGATGATGGTTGTGATGGTGATGGAGGTGGTGATGATGATAGTGGTGGTGCTGGTAATGGCGGTGGTGCTGCAATGATGGTGGTGGCGGCGCTGGTGGCAATGATGATGATAAGAAT